TCGCGATTTAACGCGAAGTGTGAACTTCGCGGTTTAACGCGAAGTGTGAACTTCGCGATTTGACGCGAGGCGTGAACTTCGCGATTTAACGCAAAGTGTGAACTTCGAGATTTGACGCAAAGTGTGAATTTCGCGATTTAACGCAAATTGTGAACTTCGCGGTTTAACGCGAAGTGTGAACTTCGCGATTTGACGCGAGGCGTGAACTTCGCGATTTAACGCAAAGTGTGAACTTCGAGATTTGACGCAAAGTGTGAATTTCGCGATTTAACGCAAATTGTGAACTTCGCGGTTTAACGCGAAGTGTGAACTTCGCGATTTGACGCGAGGCGTGAACTTTGCGATTTAACGCAAAGTGTGAACTTCGCGATTTGACGCAAAGTGTGAACTTCGCGATTTAACGCAAAGTGTGAACTTCGCGATTTGACGCGACGTGTGAACTTCGCGATTTAACACAGTGTGACTTTCGGGATGTGCCGCGACGTGAACTTCGCGATTTAACGCAAAGTTTCAACTCCGCGATTTATCGCGAAGATCGCCGTCTAGTCTACCATCTCCATATCACTTATCAATTGATTCGATGTGTCTAGTTTATTGTCTAGATTTAATTTGAGAAGTAAAAGTTGAGGGTCCACGATCTCCCATATATCCACGGTAGAAATTACCTTGAATCCACGGGTTATTTTATTCATATTTAATCACGGAGTATCACTAGATTATCACCCCCTATGTCGAATCAATTATCAAGTTTAGTACAGTTCAAATAAACGCCGATGGTTCTCTCAACGAATAAAATAGTTTTACTACAATATCATAGTCCGCAATTACCAAAGGCGATACTGATATCAAATGGCAGCTCTTTGTCGTTACGTTGTATATGGGGAGCGAAAATTGGGTGAGTTGGCTAGAGTCAGAGCACTCTCACTCGTGCCACCCACTATTTTTCCTCTATGTAACGTCAGGAGCCTATGTGTTCTCCGTACATGGTGGGTCGGGGGGAGAGGAGAGGAACAATGACGCTCAGGATCCTCCCGGAAAGTACGAAAGGACAATCAACCGGAATTTAGGGGACTTCACGACTCACTTTTTTTTTTACGAGACGAGTCATATACTCACCACCCTCTTCCATGAGTCACGGATCGTCTATATATTCTGCGTTCTATGCAGAGGGTTGATATCTTCCTCGGTTGGATTTTTTTTTCTTTCAACTGAACTGACTAGTGAAAGTTTTTTCGAGGGAAAAAAGGAAGAGGAATATTAATCCTCCGTACAGAATGGGAGAAAAAGTGGGCAGTACGTGGAGTGAAAAAGTCATTTCTTATCTCGTCCTTTGTGGCGTTGGACAAAGGAGATATATTAGTTTTTAGTTTTTTTTCGGTGGATTTCAATGAAAGAGGAAAGAATTAGACTTGTTTGTTTATTTCGCGGAAGTTTCAGGTGCTCCTGTTGCCGGAGAGAAAAAGTTTGTTTTGAATTTTTTTTTTCTTCGTTGACTCCGGGGAAAATAAAAACAAACAGTTGCGTATTTACTCAGATAATAATCTCCGTGGCCCAATTTTTTTTTCAAGAGGAGAATGGAAGTTTAAAGAGTGGATGGAGAAATTCCTGGGGGCGGTTCTGTGCAATAACACGGGGAAATTAATTTTTTTTTTAAAGAAATGTTTTGAGAGAATACTTTCCTCGAGTTTTTCTCCTGCGGGGGCTCTCAGGAAAAATGAAAATAAAAATTATTTAGTGGGGTAATAACCCAATTGCTGGCTAGTGCGAAGAGTAGAGCTTAAAAAATGGCTGGAACGTGACTGGTGTGCCTGATTTGAAACGAATTTTTGTCGCAATTTTTTTGGTGCAGAAAAAGAGGTAAAAAATTTAATTACAAAATTGCATGGGGATTTATCGTTTCAGAGGAAAAAAATCTGAAATTGAGAACTGAGGGAATTGCAGGCTGCGACCGCTGTCATCAGAGACAGGAAAATTTCATTCGAAATGAGAAAAAAGCCCCAATTAGTTTTCAAGTCGAGTTGAAAAATTCCTTCCTGAAAAATCACGAAAAATGATCAGGACTTTTTTTTATTTCGGGGAAAAAAACGTGCGGTGAAAAAGTCTTCACTAATTTCTAATTTCCTAAAGCACTTCCTCGAATTAACACCGAACTCCGAAAATCACTCCATCTCTCTCGCACAAAAAATTAAAAATCCAATCCCCAACTTTCTCAACTGATTTCCGTTTGCCCGTAAAAATCCGGGTCAAAGGGAATCGTATTTTTATTTCAAGCAGACGTACGTCAATCCACGTAATCCATCTAAACACCTGGAAAAAATCCACACCACCCTCCCGCACTTATCGAACATTAACCCTATCCGCGTTCAATCCATATAGGGAGAAAATAAATTTCCCATACATTTCCCTCAACCCTTTTTTTTCCGGCGTGTATCACTGACGTGTACATAACTATGCAACACGCGAGTGAGGAATAATTTGCGTGGCATGCAAAGACATGTGTACACTTTACATAAGGCATAAAGGGCCGTTCCTATATATAAAACACATCAATGCATAAAAGAGAGAGAGAGAGAGCGAGAGCCCCAAACATCATCCCGATGGCCTCTCCCTTCTGTATCCGCCCGGTGAAATGTAACTGTTTGTGAGCTATTTTTATGGAAAGAATCTTTTCATCGTTTCCTTCTCTCTTCATATAGAGGAAACCCCCTCGCGACAACACGTTGAAATACTTAAACAACACTCGAGTGTATTCCATTATACACGCGTTTAACGAAGAATGTTTGGCACTTTGATGTCAAACTTCAGTCGGCCCGTAATAAAATTAGAAATGAGAATAGAGCACTCGAGGCTTTTTTTTAGTAGACGAGAATATTTTGGCTACTCAAAGTATCAAATGCTTTGAAAACACTGACAAAATGCAATTTTTTTGCAGAAGGTTTTTTATAAAATGATGACTCATTGCTGCTCCATACAAATTATTCACATCCAGATACATCAAATATGATTTTTCTTCTTCAGAGTCACATTCAGCTCTCGTATATCGATTATTAGCCTTTCCATATCGGTTTGAACCCTAAGAAAATCCTCCCCTGATACCCGCCTCGATGAAAGGGAGTATTTCCGCACCTCGAAATGCTCTCAAATGAACTCCGCGTCGAGCTATTGAAAACAGCTGAGACCACATTGAGTATTTAAAGTACCAAATGCATTGGAAACATTGACACGTGACAAAAATTGCAATTTTTTGCAGATTCTTTATGGAGTGTTGATTATAATCCTTGACCAACAGTTTGTTGCGTCAAAATATCATGGAATGCCCCAAGCAAGGCTAATTCCACGCGGCAGATGATGACTCATTGCGACTTCATACAAATTATTCACATCCAGATACATCAAATATGATTTTTCTTCTTCAGAGTCACATTCAGCTCTCGTATATCGATTATTAGCCTTTCCATATCGGTTTGAACCCTAAGAAAATCCTCCCCTGATACCCGCCTCGATGAAAGGGAGTATTTCCGCACCTCGAAATGCTCTCAAATGAACTCCGCGTCGAGCTATTGAAAACAGCTGAGACCACATTGAGTATTTAAAGTACCAAATGCATTGGAAACATTGACACGTGACAAAAATTGCAATTTTTTGCAGATTCTTTATGGAGTGTTGATTATAATCCTTGACCAACAGTTTGTTGCGTCAAAATATCATGGAATGCCCCAAGCAAGGCTAATTCCACGCGGCAGATGATGACTCATTGCGACTTCATACAAATTATTCACATCCAGATACATCAAATATGATTTTTCTTCTTCAGAGTCACATTCAGCTCTCGTATATCGATTATTAGCCTTTCCATATCGGTTTGAACCCTAAGAAAATCCTCCCCTGATACCCGCCTCGATGAAAGGGAGTATTTCCGCACCTCGAAATGCTCTCAAATGAACTCCGCGTCGAGCTATTGAAAACAGCTGAGACCACATTGAGTATTTAAAGTACCAAATGCATTGGAAACATTGACACGTGACAAAAATTGCAATTTTTTGCAGATTCTTTATGGAGTGTTGATTATAATCCTTGACCAACAGTTTGTTGCGTCAAAATATCATGGAATGCCCCAAGCAAGGCTAATTCCACGCGGCAGATGATGACTCATTGCGACTTCATACAAATTATTCACATCCAGATACATCAAATATGATTTTTCTTCTTCAGAGTCACATTCAGCTCTCGTATATCGATTATTAGCCTTTCCATATCGGTTTGAACCCTAAGAAAATCCTCCCCTGATACCCGCCTCGATGAAAGGGAGTATTTCCGCACCTCGAAATGCTCTCAAATGAACTCCGCGTCGAGCTATTGAAAACAGCTGAGACCACATTGAGTATTTAAAGTACCAAATGCATTGGAAACATTGACACGTGACAAAAATTGCAATTTTTTGCAGATTCTTTATGGAGTGTTGATTATAATCCTTGACCAACAGTTTGTTGCGTCAAAATATCATGGAATGCCCCAAGCAAGGCTAATTCCACGCGGCAGATGATGACTCATTGCGACTTCATACAAATTATTCACATCCAGATACATCAAATATGATTTTTCTTCTTCAGAGTCACATTCAGCTCTCGTATATCGATTATTAGCCTTTCCATATCGGTTTGAACCCTAAGAAAATCCTCCCCTGATACCCGCCTCGATGAAAGGGAGTATTTCCGCACCTCGAAATGCTCTCAAATGAACTCCGCGTCGAGCTATTGAAAACAGCTGAAGCCATATTGAGTATTGAAAGCATCAAATGCTTTGAAAACATCGACAAGTGGAAAAAAATTGCAATTTTCTGCAGACATTGCTTATGAAACTTTGATTACAGACCTTGACCAACAACTTCTGTCCCATCACAACTATTACTGACGACTGGAGGGGAAAAAGTAAATGTGGAAGTTTGAATATACAAGAATATTTTATTCATCCAAAGTAACAAATATAGAATTATCCAAATAAATGCATTGACTTGGCAGAATAAATGACAAAAAACGGTGAATGATTAAATTCCATACGTACTTTATAACTAATAACATCATTAATAGGCACATAAAAATTTATAATTATCATCGGTTAAACGGATTGGGAAATGGTAATGTGACACGAAGATACGAGTGGATGAATTATTGAAAACGATAATTTGGCACAATTCACATTGTAAATTAATGAGAGACAGTACGTCCTCATAATTTTTGGGGGAAGGGAGGGAGTGAAATTATGAGTCATTTCGTGCTATATCAGTCCTCGGATTAATCAATATCGTATATAATACTCTTAAACTTCTTAATATTTACATATATCTATGTTCTCTTAAATATAATCGTACGTATTACGTAAACGTTTATAGGAGATTCTTTCCTTTTTCTTTTCTCTAATAAAAATTACATCTAAAATTATATAATGTTTTACTCCTCTACTGCAAGTAGTAATATCATGTATTATTGGTATCGTTGCCGTTCTGAAAATTTTCCTTAATCTCAAAGTTCTCTAAGTAAATTCGTATGATTAATTTATGTACACATAACGTTAAAAACCCAGACAAGTGGAAGGAAGTAGATAAGAGAACTCATTCTCTCCATTGTAGCCCCGACTTTTCCAATTTACTAGCACTCACCTGAGAATGAAAAGTCATTTTGAATGCACTCCAAGATCCCCTGACAATTTCCAATTCGAGATGATAGTTATAAGTGAACTTATTCCGCCCCAGTAACTCCAAAGACCCAGCGAATTTTCCAATTTCTACTTGATAAATTTTATCGTTCATTTTCCCTCGAGTGCCTAATGAAGCAAAAAGAAATGAATTGCCATCCCAGGGAACTCGCGAGCGGGGAAAGGAAAATTTCCCCAATTCCGTGTAACGGCCCCAATGTTCATTCCACTTTATTCTCATATCACTCAATTGTTACCGATAATTATCTCCCCCCTCCACTCGTCTCGAATACATCATGATTAAAGACCAAAAAGCCCGACGAATACGCGAATTAAGGCAGTGCTCCATCCATCATTTAAGTATAAATAACCATAGGAACATAATGATTAATAGGCCGTTGCAATTGCCGAAGAAATATCAAAGTCACCAACTAAAGATAAAAAACAACAGATTATCTCCATCGAAAACAATAAATAACGAGAGTTTACAGCCACGCGCCAAGTTGAGCTTCGAGAATAGTAGCGGCATCGGTTCTCCCCATAACTCTCAAATGATTAACAAGATCGTTAACAGCACTGGGCTCACGATGCCTAGCCTCCCAAAGATCAAGAATGTGCTCAGTGGGACTGGCTTTAGTAGCGAAATAATTGATATACCTGTCTACCCGCAATCGTTGTGCCAGCATTCGCCAATCATTGCCAATATTATTGGGAGGATCCAGGCACTGGCACAACTGCTTCCTCAAAGACTTTGTGAACCTGAAGGGCCCATGATAGCTGCCATCGGAGGCCACGATATTGCTACTGACAACAGTCACCTCACGAATGGGACGTGTCACACTGCCCGAGAATATTCGTTGCTTCGGTACATCATAAATAATCCTAAATACCTGCCTTCCAACGTCGGTCGTGCAGCCCTGCGACACTTGAAGCTTGTACGACTTGCTCGTAACGCCATCGAAATCCTCGTCCAAGACGAATTCGACGTAACTGTTACCCCTTGAATTCCAGATATCGTAGAAGTCGATGTGCTGTCTCTCAGTCGGTGATTTATTCTCCCACTCGTTACCCACTTGCTCAAGACTGATCCACAATGCATCACCATTGTCCTGAAATACTATGCTCCTTGGTTTATCAAGAATGTAGCCCCACTCCAGTGTTTCACCATCATTAATCACCTTCAGTGATGCCTTCGTATCCTCAGTTATGTACACCCTAATCTGGCGCGTTTGACTCGCAAAAAGTGTGATTTTTAATCTCTTAGCTGCCACCACATGATCATCAACACTTCGTCCAGCCAGAACGTAGCTCTGTAGCTGTTCAGTGACTATGAACGCCTCGGTGTGATCGATCTGGGTGAATAATGGGGTATTTATTGTTTCGTTGCCGAGGGTGAGGAGCTTTCGCCAACAGCCCAGTGACTCTTTCGACTCGTTATCATCGGTTTCTGTCGTTGGGGGGACCTCGAGGCTCCAGATGGACAGCTCCCAGGTCGACGCTGGCTGCAGCACAGCGCAGTGTTCAAACTGCAGAATCACTGGCTTGCTGAAGGTCATCCCTGGTGGACCGCAGCAGATAACGGCCGACAGCTGCGTCGTACCCTCCGGAAATTTCGGCCTCATCTCGTCGTTCACGAGAACCGACACGTAAAGCTGCGCTTTACTCTGGGACTTTGGTATTGCACCCTCTGGCACTGACAACGATACACCACAATCAGCCAGCACCAGCAGTGCACCACGTACGTTGACAGTGGCACTTGCAATGCAATTTGATTGCTCAACATTGGCCAATTTAACGCGCTCAGTGGCAACGTTGTAGGTCGTTGTGGAATCTGACGAGGGATAAGAAGAGCTCACAACACTTGTGATGCTATTTTCACTGCCAGAATAAATTTGCTTGTCACCGGAGGATTGATGAGACGAATGCGTCAGGGATGACTGAGTGAAGCCGATTGAAACGTGATGGGGCACGTCGTAGTGGTGCTCAGAGAGTGAACGAGATAATGAGAGTTTTGGATCGAATGGATATTCGTAGGTTGACGCTGCCTGGACCGCTGTTCCTGACGTCAAGTCAGGCTGGAGGCATGGCTTTTTATCGTATTTTGTTGATTGAAATTCTGGAACAATTTGGTGCCAACAATGGGATCGTCAATTTCAAGGCCTTTTTTTGCCTTTACTATAGAGATTATAGAACCCCTATAGGCTACAGGGAATTCTATAGAATTTTAAATAGTTGTGCAAATTCTATAGAAAGTCTCCATTCTTCTATACAAAATGATTATATCAGATTCTATAGGGAGTTCTACACAACCCCAAATAGTTGTATGAAAGATATGGAATCCTATAGAATTTCATATGGCTATAGGGATTCTATAGGGGGCCCTATAAAATTCCATATGACTATAGGGACTCTACAGGGAGTTATACAAAATTATAGTTTCTATAGAATTCTATAGCAATTCAAACAATTCTATAAAGACTATTATTCTATAGAAAATGGTTATATCAGATTCTATAGGACGTTCTATAGGATCTCGAATAATTGTATGAATTATATAGAGAATCAAAGATTTTTTTATGGGTATAAGGAAATTTAGAAATTCTATTCTTCTATAGAAAACGGATATATAAAATTTTATTTTGTTGATTGAAATTCTGGAACAATTTGGTGCCAACAATGGGATCGTCAATTTCAAGGCCTTTTTTGCGATGTGGAGGTGAATTTTTTTTAGTTCGTTCGTGTTTTTACGGGGGCGGTTTCAGGATCAAGTGTTGGGGGTTTTGTAGGAGAAGGAGAAGATCAACTTTAAGAATTTCGTGTTGTTCTTTCACAAATGGTGAGCACGTGGGTGCGCGTGTGAGAAAATGCTATAGGGATTTCTATAGAGTCTATAGGAAATTCTGTAGATCTTCGTGCGGCTATAGGGGGCTGTGTAGAATATAGGGTTGTATGGATTCTACAGCCAATCCTATAGATTTTCTATAGCTGTAGGGAAATTTAAAGATTCTATTTTTCTATAGAAAGATATAATTTGATATGGCTATAGGGATTCTATAGGGAGTTATATAGAATTGTAAAGTTTCTATAGAATTTTATAGAAGTTCAAGATTCCTTCTGTCGAGACTATTCTTTCATAGGAAATGGGTATATCAAGCTCTATAGGGAATCCTATAGAATTCAATGACTATAAGGATTATAGAGCCCCTATAGGCTACAGGGAATTCTATAGAATTTTAAATAGTTGTGCAAATTCTATAGCAAGTCTCCATTCTTGTATACAAAATGATTATATCAGATTCTATAGGGAGTTCTACACAACCCCAAATAGTTGTATGAAATATATAGAATCCTATAGAATTTCACATGGCTATAGGGATTCTATAGGAGGCCCTATAGAATTCCATATGACTATAGGGACTCTACAGGGAGTTATACAAAATTATATAGTTTCTATAGAATTCTATAGAAATTTAAAAAAAAAATCTATAGACTATTCTCCTATAGAAAATAGTTATATCGGATTCTATAGGGAGTTCTATAGGATCTCGAATAATTGTATGAATTATATAGAGAATCATAAAGATTTTTGTATGGCTATAGGAAAATTTAGAAATTCTTTTCTTCTATAGAAAACCGATATATAAAATTTTATAGGGAATCCTATAGAATTGTTTAAAGGCTTTCTCACAAAGAATTCCAACATTTCCTATTTTTTTAAATAGGCGTTTCTATAGACTTCTATAGGATTGTATAGTTTCTATAAAAACTATACAATTCTATAGAAGTTTAAGATTCCTTTTGTCAAGACTATTCTTTCATAGAAAATGGTTATATCAAGCTCTATAGGGAATCGTATAGAATCCAATGACTATAGGGATTCTACAGGGAGTTGTATAGAATTATATGGTTTCTATAGAATTCTATAGAATTTCAAAAAATCTATAAAGACTATTCTTCTACAGAAAATGGTGATATCAGATTCTATAGGGAAGATTTTTTATGGGTATAAGGAAATTTTGAAATTCTATTCTTCTATAGAAAACGGATATATAAAATTTTATAGGGAATCCTATAGAATTGTTTAAAGGCTTTCTCACAAAGAATTCCAACATTTCCTATTTTTTTAAATAGGCGTTTCTATAGACTTCTATAGAATTGTATAGAAATCTATAGAATTCTATAGAAATTCAAAAAAAATTCTATAAAGACTATTCTTCTATATAAAACAGATATATAAAGTTTTATAGGGAATCCTATAGAATTGTTTGGAGGCTTTCTCACGACGAATTTCCTATTTTTTAAAAATAGGCGTTTCTATAGAATTTTCTATTATTATCCTATAGAATGTTCAATAGGATTTATATAGCCTTTCTCATAAGACTTCCTATGAATTTTTTTTTCCATCTGAATTATCTATAGAATTTTTTCTATAGGGACGGATTCTATAGAGAGATTACGAGATTTATAAAAGGAGTTTCATGGGGTTTCCGGGGGTATTACGAATTTCGAATGACAATTATGATATTCCTTACCTTCACTCTGCGTCATGGAATAAAGCCTGTGATCCTGATTTTTTCTCCTAACAAGTCTGATCAAAAGTAATGCAAGTCCAATGCCAAAAATACACGCAAGAACAAGCCCCATGTAAAAAGTCATATCCATCTGTCTATCGACCGCAATTTTACCCTTTTCCGCTGCCGTCGCAGCATTACTATTCGTAGTAGAGCCCACCATGGCAGTATGGTTTGTTGTGAGCTGTATACCACCCATTGTTCCATTGTTACCTACAACATTCAATCGCGCTTTTTTTTCGTTTTTTTTTTCATTTCAAACATATGGATCTGTATAACAATATTTCATCACGTGGGTAAATAAAAAAAATTCTATTACCGTTTTCACAGAGTCCGCCTGTGCAATTCGCGACTATAGTGTCTTTTCCGGGGCAGTGTCTGCCGCCGTGGGCTGGCGCCGGTTCGTCACAGGTTCGTGTCTTTGTGTGAGCACAGTCTTTACCGCAAATTGACCAGGGCGACCACTTTGACCAGCCACCGTCCACTGCTAGATCATTTTCAGTGGAAAATTGATATCAGAGGTCGATTTGTGGATCGGTTTAAGTGGTGTTGGGGGTCTAAAGGTTCTTTTATCAATTTATTATTATTATTATTGTTAATTTATTTCATTAATTCATTCATGTTTATTGTATTAAGATAAATCATCTTTTACAATGGGGGCTTTTACAGAAGTATTTCAATCTTGTATTAATTAGCCAACAAGAGTCATAAGAAAAATAAGAGGATAGAAAAGAAAGATATAAAGATATAAAGAGTATCTGAGGAAATACGACGGTCTTCGAAAAAAATTCAAGAAAACTATCAGGTGTTTTCAAATTTCAAGAAAATGAATGACTTTTCTTTTAAAAAATGGAGAAAATTCTGGGGTTTTCAGGACATTCGCACATTTTCTAAAAAAACAAATTGGGTCAATTCACGATTTAATAAAATCCTAGGCTGTATTCTCGGTACAATAGTTAGACTCGACGTGAACATGTCTGGCGACTGTTTCTTCTTACCTGGACACGAGGTGTCACAATCCATTTTCTGAATGGCTGGACCGAGGCAGGGCTGGCCATCATTCATTGGCGCGGGATTGGTACAGGTTCTGGTGCGTTTTTGACCCCCTTTGGCGCACCGTGAATGACACTCTGTCCACGCGGACCATTGGGACCAGCCCCCATTAACTAAACATAAGGATGAATTCAAACGTAAATGACTACTATAAATAACCGAAAAGAATCACCACCTCTTGGGTTTGGCTTTTTTTCTATTAAAAGAACCGAGTTATCTACCACATGACAAATGAGTCGTAAATGATAAATGCCGGAGTGTGGAGCTGACTAAATTACCGATTTCGAGAGAGCACTTTCGGATTCTTTTGCTCCATTAGTCTCGGAGATAAGGATAAAGAGATATTTTGGAGGAATCATAGTTTCGGGAGTGACGGAATGGGTGGACGGAGAGTGGGATAATTATAGGGGTTTGCATCGGTATTTAGGTTTATTTCGAACATTTCGAGCCGTTCGGGGAAATGAGGAGGAAGACTTCAGACATCATTTTACGAGAGAAATAATGAGCTTTGGGGAAATTTTGTCAGATACATTTGGTTTCAGGAATTTTTTTTCAACTTGTCGGGTTTGAGTTATGGTCTGAAAAAATGATTTTCGACTGAAAAAGTCAATCTTTGGTATTTTTACTCTAAAAAATCCCCTAGAATTGAATCTGCCGTTAGCTAATATTACGTTAGGTTCAGCTTCAAGACTCTGGGCTCGATTTTATCCTAGAAATACTGATTCTAGGAGAAAGTGTCAAAAGACATTTTTGTCGGAAATTTCATCAGCTACAAATGTTTTCCGGGAATTTTTTTCCTAACTCCCCTAGATCCCGAGTTACAAGCCAAATTGGAAATGATCTCGGAATGACCTCAGAACTTATTGTTTCATTATTTTATTCTATTTTTTTTTTTGATGATGTTTATAATATGTTTCGTGTGGCTTTTGTAGAATTTTTTTGCCATCTTATGTATTTTCTTATGGCCGCGAAGGGATTTTGTTCTAGAGTCTTTTCTAATCAAGAAAGAATTGAATCTTCCGCTGGCGAATATTCCGCTAGTTTCCCCTCCATAACTTGGGGCTCGATTTTCGCCTAGAAATACTGCCCCTAGAAGAAATTCTCAAAAGACATTTCTGTCGGGAATTTCATCAGCTACAATCGCTACCCGGGAACTTCCCCCCCAACTCCCCTAGATCCCGAGTTACAACCCAAATGAAAAAAAAGTAAAATCACTCATCTCCAATTTTGTCTCGAAATGATTCCAAAAATGAATTCCACTACTAAAAACCCGTTTCAAAAATGTTTCTTGACATTTTCTCCCTCCCCCCCAACTCCAATTAACCATGCAATAAGCCTAAAAAAATCAATTTGTTACCCTTCACCCCATCAATCATCATCCACTTGAACTCTTTGTACCCAAACCCAAACGAAATTAATTCAACCAACCATAAACGGTAATAGCGGCTGGTGTGCTGAGCCGTTTGGCGGCAATATTCTCCGCCACACACGTATAATTAGCCTGATGAATAAGCTTAGCCTGTCCAATCATCAAGTGGCCCTCGCTCGATATCAAAATACTATTTCCAAGTTCACTCTTCTCCTCATCCCCATTGATAACCACCCCATTTCTCATCCAGTAAACCCTCGGTGTTGGTACACCAGGGGGTGGTAAACACCGTAATTCCGTGCTCTGTCCGTCCTCCACAGACACTGAATACGGCGGTGATTCGAATTGCTTCTTCAGATCTACAGAAAAAAACCCAGAAAATCGTTAATCAGCCCCATTCGTCGCAACGATTACTAGTCCATACGCTGGGATTGAAAAGGTATGCACTGTGAGGTCCACGAGTCAAGTATATTTTTCCCATATTTTACGGGTCGTAGAATCCAAATTTGTTTGTTGGCCAACGCTCGAGTAATGCATTCAAAAGTTATTCACAACCGAATTGTTCAAATGGGAATTGCTCTGCACCATTGAGTTGTACAACAAGAAAGTTCGGATGAAAAATGTTCGTCTTGTCAAGACGAATCCACCGCCGTTGGATTTATCCTGATATATCAATTAACGAATGAGATAGAGCGATTGTTCCTCCCGAGCGCCTTCGCGCGCTCGCGTAAAACTTCGCACCTTTTTTCAGTTTTAAGACTTTCAATCCCCCACCCCAACATATTTATTATTGATGACGTTGGTCATTTCCATGGTTAACAATAAGAGGAATAATTAATGGGACGTTGGAAGAGTTCAGCAATACTAATTTATTGTCAAATCGCGACGTTTCGCTGCAAATCCTGCGACAGCTTCTTCAGGCTCTTGACAGGTTTAGTACGTAATCACTATAAACTCTAATAAAATGTGCGTGGAGCGACGACAACATATTAATTGATTAAAAATTGCAAAATACTCTAACAAGAACATCGGGGTCTGCAGCAACACCTGTCATTAATCCAAACAAACATGGGTCAAATTTGTTGCAAACAAAGGCGGTGTATGAGGTGAATTTGAGAGTGAATTTCTGAGGTTCCCGGTAGCTTAGTCGGTAAGAGTGCCCGGCGCTCATCTGGGAGACCCGGGTTCGATTCCCGGTTGGGTGAAGCGGAAATTTTTTCTCTCTAAATTCTAATTCTCTTAGAATTCTACGTTTATTACAAACTTTGTTTGTAAAAAATTTGACCCATGGGCCCCGTAGTGCGTACATTTCACTCCCAGCGTATGGGCTATACGTCAAAATTCAATGAATTACGTCGACCGTGGGTACACACAGGCTACATCAATGACGGCCGGTTGACTGGTGATGGAGCCAGTTCCTGACCAGGCGATGCACTCGCATCTGTACTTGTCATTTCCAAAATACTCCTCGATACTGTCTCTCGTTATGTTGACCTCGGCGTCAACAATTCTCGTGCCAGTGTGAGGATCAACAAAATCCGTCTGATACGAGTCCTCCATTCTCTGGCCATTGCAACGAAAATAAAGTTGGAGTGCGTGTGCTGCTTTGCACCTCAATCCTGCCGGTTTATTCTTAATGACAAAAGCATCGAGTGGCTCCATGAGAAAAACCGGCAGATGTCTACCCCCGCTTATCAAATCAGCATCACCACCCGAGCCATTTCCCACCCTCGGCGCTTCCTCCTCCTCACCGAGTAAATAAGTATCATCATCGTTACTATCATTGTGATCATCGTCACCCGAATTATCGTCCTCCTCCAAGTCCTTGTCATTTGTTCTCAACATATCGGCTACGTTCTTACTACCAATGTCATTATCAAATGACAATACATCTAGTACAAGTCCTATTAAAAATATCAGAAGTAATTTTGATAAATTTCTCATCTCGTCTCGATGTTTACTATTTTAATCCGTTCATTTTCACATTCGTTGTATTGCATCTGTCCCCCACCCTCCGCACGAAGCACGCACTATCTCATTTGTTTACTATTTGTTTATAAACTATGTACACGGTTGTGGCATTGTTGGAGTCCTTCGAGTGGTCAAAGGATCGTGAAAATTCACTTGTCAATTTTTCAAACATTTTTTTTCAATCTCCCGGCGTGGACAGCGCACGTATCACATTTTTACAACCTCTCGGGATTGAAAACGGGGAAAAAAAAGGAAATGAAAAAAAAAATAAAAAAACAAAATTGCGAGATGAGAGAGCGGAGGAGAGCGAGAACATAAACGAACGACTGATGGCGGCTAACTGACTCGGGGGCTTTGGGCACTCTCTCAAGTACTCAGAGACCAGCATCGGCGCCCTGGTGCTCTCTCAACGCAGTGGGGAGCCCGAGAGAGATAGAATTATTCCCTGCGTATATATACCGGCAATGGGAAATGCGCTAGGATGGGGTTTCGACTCGTTCGTCGTCGGGTCGGCTCTCGGGCATGTGCCTACGAGGTGTATCTGTGTGCCGAGAGACGAGTGAAATTTCCACGTGTGTTGGGGGGACGAAAATTCATGCTGTGCTGGACAGAATAGCGCGGAGCGGGGAGGGAGGGGGGCTCAAGGGTCAGGGGGGAGGGGGAGGGGGCTCCAAAGGACTGGGGAAGGGCCGAGCCCCCCCCCCTCCCCACCTTTAACCGTGGGAGACTTCGTGTGGGATGAAGTACACATGATAATGCACATATTTTTGTAAAAAGATATTGGGGAAATGGAGATTGACGTTGGGAGAGGTTTTAATTGCGCGTGGCTTCGATGGGAATATAAATATTGGAGGTTGGGTGATGGAGATGTTGAAATTGTTGAGGCTGTTTTTGGGGAATTGATGGTGACAGGGGGACATACTTGTTCATTTGTAGTGGTGGGGAGTTATGATGGCTGATTAGGGGTGGAGGGGGACACCGGCGGTGGGTTTGCAGTCAATTGTGATGAACTGTAATTGTTTGGATTGATGAACGAGTTTGAGGTTATTTAATGATGAGGGGAAATTAAAAAATTTTTTTTTGTAAAAAAAAACGCCAAGTAAACGTTTTGATGTGCTGGCGGAGGTGGAAGAGTTGTCGATCAAGAAATCTGATGAGAGATTCGAGAAAAAAATCGACGTAGAGCCAGAGGGGCGTAAGTGGTGCGGGTAAGCATTGCTGTTGCGCCCTTTCGGCTCTACGACGACGACATGATTGATTGATTGATTGATTGAAATTTATTAACTGTACATTATGTTGTACAAAGTAAACGTGACTAAAAGTCATACAGCAGAAATGCAGAGTAACTTGAGGAAAAAATAAGCATAGAGTTGTTGCAAGTAGCTTAAGCAAACTAGACGCACTCAATCAGTGGTGAGTGGAGAGTGAAGAGAGAATACAAGAACGGTTGGACCTGAATACAATAAACTGCAATTAATTGTTTGTATTGCTGGATAGTTTGAGGTTATTTGTTGATTTATTGATAATGATGACTGCCGAGAGAAACCAAGAATGATGCGTCTTGATTGAGATCTCCGAAGAGAATCACGACTATCGATGTTGCTCATACGATAGTCGTTACCAAGCGACTTGAACCTGTTAGCGAAACGTCTCGAAATGACAATCCGATGAACACTGTTCCCACTTTCTCCAACAGTCCTCGAAATCCCAAAGAAAATAGATCAACAATGGGGACAAAAACCAAATCCTCAACTAGATAATTAAGAGTAATAAATGATTTTTTATTCAAAATAATTTTCGTTCCCTTTTGTATCGTTTTCCGAGGAAAGTAGGGAATACCAAACGGTCATTTCCAACTCCTAAACAAGAACAAAACTCCAACAAACAGCTCCATCATTTATTGCGAATTTTGGGGGCTCGTCGGAGCCTTCTGACGATAGCTTTCAACTTCACATCAGAGGAATATTAATTAGTCGCAGCAGTCGCACGTGTGAGAGTTTTCAGTGTCGAGGAGAGAGAGAGAGAGAGGACTCGACTCGACTTGCAAAAAAAACGTGACAAAAAGTCATAACAAAGGGATTAGTGTGGGACATGAGGTTTATTATTTCTGGATGATGTCAAGAGGGACTGGTGGTGTCGATCTAGCCAGCTTCATTAAATCACAGTTATTGTACACTGCTTGGGCTGTTAAACGCACGAAAAATAATGGCTTTTTTAATCAGGGAGGAAACATCGAGTTAAGTAGATCAGTTGGGTAAGCGATTAATCTGTTTGCCATGGCTCTTTTGTTTACTCTCGTGCGATGATTCATTCGAGGAATTTTTGCGCTCTTCAGACACTCGGTGGAGCCCACGGTCAGTTGGAAATTGCGGTCGATGCTGATGGGGGATCACGAGGGGATGGACGTCCAGGGGAAGACTGATTTGTTGAGGAGGATCCTCTTGTTTATTGATCATAATTTGGAGGAAAATGTCGAGAAGGTTTGAGATTTTTCGTTTTTAGGGGTTATGGAGACAGTGCCTTCATTCCATTGTTGGATTTCAATTGTGCAATGTGAAAATTCAATTCTTGATGAATTTCATTTTTTTATATTTGAAGTGTAGATTTATTTCATTCAATTTTATTTAAATTATTACATTATATTAATCCGATAAAAATTTTCATCTCCGATTTTTATTCTTTGCTATTTTTTTAATGCATTCTATCAAAAGGGGAGAAATGGAATTGATGGGTATTCTTTCATTATTTGAAAAAATATATCAATTTTAAAACTTTCTGGAGACATTGAAAAATCGAAATTTTTATTTTCTTGCTGATCACGTAGCTCTGTTCTTTTTTTTCACTTTCTTCCATTGAAATTAGATCATAGAAAGGGGACATGTTGATATTTTTTGGTCATTAAAAAAAACGTTTTGAAATTTTTCAGAAAAATAAAAAATCGTTTTCTTTTATTTTCTTGCTAATCATCTCTCCCTGCATTTTTCTCATTTCCTATCAATGAAATCAGATCATGAAAATGAAATTTTTTTTAATGACGAAAAAATATCAAATGTTGATCATGAAAATGAAATTTTTCGTTTTCATGATCTGATTTCATTGAGAAATTATTATATTATACTGATATTATTTAACATAAATATCTCTTCATTTGAAAATGAGAAAAACTGTTCCCACAATTTGTATACTACATCGCTGTTGGAGCCTGAAAAATCGATGTTTTCGATTAATCGATAAAACATCGCCAGTGTTACCAGATCGTGACGTCATCCCATTTAAAATTATACAGGTTTTGGCTATAAATCGCCGAAATCTGGCAACCCTGACACCGCCCATCCCAAATAATTCGATCGACAGAGCACGAAGAATCCAAAACTTCAATTAGAACGATTCCAAATCTTCCCTTCGAATAAAAAAA